TTTTACTGTTTATCAGACACTCAGATACAGTGCTTAATCTGTAAATTTACCAGTATCATGCTTAGAGTGTGAAAAAAATTACAAAGTTGTATTTTTAGTAATGTAAAAAACATGCCCAATTTTCAAACTCATTTTCAATTCTTGCAGCTGAGCAGTTAAGTCACTAGACTCCAAACTAGACTTTTTCATTTCAAGTGCAGGGAAAACTGCATCACTGAATGCTTATAATGACACTGGTATAGTTCAATGAAATCTGGTGCTTTCCCAACACCCCTTTCAGTGAGTCAAGTGTGCAGAAAGTTAATCATTGTTTTCTATAACACCAGGTGAGCTATTTTGCATCTTGCAGCTGTCTGAGTAACCAAAGGGAGTTCCCCACATTCATGCGCACCATGCCCAGTGATGCCTTTCAGATTAAAGCCCTGGCCCAGCTGGTGAGCTATTTTGGCTGGACCTGGGTGGGAGTCATTGGCATGGAGTCTGATTATGCTCGCTTTGCCATCCAGCTTTTCCTGCAAGAGTCAGTGCAGTATGGTGTATGTACTGCCTACACTCACTTCTACCCTGTTGCATTACATCAGCAGGCTCTAAATGAGCTTTTGGATGTTATTCAGGTACTGATGGATCAATACAAATTTTATAAATATGCAATAAATTAGACCTTTGTCATCAAGGGCATAGCTGGGAGGTGTAGCTGGGAGACACAACTGAACCTGGGGTTTCTTCAACCAGTTGTATTGTTATATAATATGTGTCTTTAGTTTTTTGAATTTCATTTAATTTAATTTATTTTATTTCATCTTATGTATGTGCAAGTTTGGCTTGTTCATATGTATATTTTATCCATCTTATCTATATAAATCTGTATCTGTTTATTACTGCAGTAATATTTAGTGCTGTGATCCATATTGAAGGTACATAAATGTCAATCATATTCACATAAAGTTGAGGAGGTCAGACACACATCACTGGATTAAAGTTCTTAAAACTGTTTAATTATTTTATTAAACATGAACTATACCTGTATTTCACAGATGTCTTCTTCGAAGGTCATCATTAACTTCAGTAGTGAGTCAGAGATGGAAGTCATTCTAAGAGAGATCCGACATTGGAATATTACCGGCCTGCAGTGGATTGCCAGTGAGGCATGGGCCAGTGCCAGGTCTCTCTGGGAAAATTTTGGAGATCTGCTGACAGGAACACTAGGATTTGCCATCCGCAGAGCTGATGTGATTCCAGGGCTCAAACAACACCTCGCTGGACTTAGACCATCCAATATTCATGAATCAGCTATCTTGACAGAATTTTGGGAAGAGCTGTTTAACTGCCGATTGAACGGGTCAATGAATGTCCATTCACATGGAGGCGACAACTACCTCGACAGATTGCCATGTAAAGGGACAGAGAATTTAAATGATGTTTACTCTCCTTATTATGATGTGACACAGCTAAGAGTGTCCTATAATGTCTACAAGGCTGTGTATGTGGTGGCCCATGCCTTGCAGGATATGAGTAACTGCAAAATTGGACAGGGGCCTTTCCTTAATGGTGCCTGTGCAGACCCAAAGACTGTTAAACCTTGGCAGGTGAGACTAGTTGTTTGAATATTAATTTCAATTAAATAAATGAACAAAAAAGGAAGGGCAGTGTAGTTTGTGTTTACATAACCAGTTTTTCTTCCTTCCTCAGCTAATGCACTACATGAAGCATGTTAATTTTTCTGTACTGGGGGAGAAAGTAAACTTTGATCAAAATGGTGACCCCATTGCTTATTATGATCTCTTGAACTGGCAAAAGAGGCCTGATGGATCACTACATTTGGTAAAAGTAGGTTTCTATGACGCTTCCTCACCTGGACGCAGCCTGGTCATAAATGACTCAGTGATCCAATGGCCTGTTGGGAAGCAGGTGTGTTTTCTGCAAACTGGCTTGAGACCATGTTCACCTCTTAGGCTGCTGTATGTACTGTTGATCAACACATCAGCAAATTTGTTCTTAATAGTGTGCAATATACTTTTTTGTTAAACAAGCAAAAGAAAATGTCAACTTAAAATATAACTTATTCAAACTGTTATGAATTGTATATGAGTGGTACAAGCATAAACCTCATCAATAACCCAATATTGTGATAACAATTTGCAGTTAAGTATAATTATCGTAATAGCTTATAGAGTGAATTGTGTAATTGTGTACCTGAGATAATTACACTTTAAAGTCTGTATCTGAAATAGAGTCTGCAGGTACTAGTATGGTATAACAAAGCAGATACACTTGTGAATATACACTGAAATCAGTGTCTTTCTGAGTGGCTGAATTTTGCCTCTCAGGCTTCCCGGTCTGTATGCAGCGACAGTTGTCCTCCAGGTTACCGCATCTCCAGGAGAAAGGGGGAGCCTATCTGCTGTTTTGACTGTGTCCCCTGTGCTGAGGGAGAAGTTAGTAATGAGACTGGTGTGTTGTGTACTGATTTTTATCAACCTTTATCAAGTGTTCTGTATCTAAATGTGGCTTTTCTAAATTAAAAAGGTGTTCTCTCTCCCTGTCTCCAGATTCTCTAGAGTGCTCACGCTGCTCAGAGGACACATGGCCCAATAAAGTCAGAGATCACTGCATCCCAAAGACTATTGAGTTCTTGTCCTACTTTGAGTCGATGGGTATTGTGCTGTGTGTTGTATCTGTTGTTGGAGCATGTATTTGTCTCTCTGTCCTTGCCATATTCTTCACATACAAAGACACTCCACTGGTTCGGGCCAACAACATGGAATTGAGCTTCCTACTCTTGGTGTTTCTTGCTGTCTGTTTCCTTGTTGGCCTGTTGTTCATTGGCAAGCCTTCAGACTGGCTTTGC